GCCTTTCATCCAATATTCAAAATAAAACCATTACCTGCAAAATAAATATTGCCAACAGTTTTTAATCAATAATTGGTTCCAATGAGTGAAAATTATGACTATTCCATGTACGAAAGTCCAGAAGAAGAAAGTTGGAGTACTGACCCAAATAATCAGGAATTCATGTTTACTCACGATTATCTAGCCGCAACAAATGCAAGAAGTTTATTAGAAGAGTATGTAATCCATGAAGACAGCAATATTGAAGAAAATATATTACCCGAGGACGACGATAATGAAAATGATGTTGATGTTGATATGGATTATGAAGAAATTCTAGAAGTTGGAAAAAAACGCTCACCTTGCATTGTCATCGATAATTTAGGCGGGTAATTAGACGCTGCAATTCAATAATTTCTCTGGTATTAATAACTCAATTAGTTGGAACATGGGAAGTAGAATTGACTGTAGAAGAATCTTTAAATTTACCTGATCTAGGTGTTTGTTCTAATCATTTCAATTTTGATCATGGGCAACTTCACTCGTCTGGTACTAAAGTATTAAGACATTTTAGTAAAAGTGGAGTTCATAAAAAAAAATGCTTATTTTGTAATGAATATAAAAGGTTCTTTAGCAGAGGCAACGATTGTGTAGAACATTGTTGGAATATATGCGGGAGAGATATTCAGGTTCCATGCCCCGGTTTGAAATCATGTCCTGTATTTCAAAGAATTTCAAATATTGCTTCGAAATTTACTGTTCAAGACAGATATGTTAGATTTATCTGCACAAAGTGCTTCGAAAAGCATGGTGGACACATTCATAAACGTATAGGACCTGGAAAGTCTGAAACATGTGTTAGTAATGGATTGCATATAGAAGACACTAACTACATGTTAAGACTTTTTTCATCTTGGTTATTTAAACTTTCATATTCTCCAAATGAGAGTAAAAAAGAAGAAGTATTACAATACATTATAAAATTGCTAAAAACCCCGGGATCATCTTCGTCATCCTCAATGAATACAGAACCTTGTTCACCTAGTCTGCTGCTTGTAAAAATTGCAATGAAAATTAAAAAGTTTAATAATTACTCGCCTATGGATAAAAATCTTGTAAAAGTAGAAGAATGCCGTCAATTTGGAGAAATATTAGGAAATACAATATGGAATTCACATGAAGATATTGAAAAAAATCGTAATAAATTAGAAAACCCATCCTCATTAGACGAATATTATAATAGTTTTCTCTTGATTCTTACTAGCTTTTTTGAAGGGTTAATTGAATCTATTGAAAGACGAAAGTATGCAATTAGAAAAAGAAAACATAGACAACGTGAAAAAAATAAACCCGAATATAACACAGATACTATAAAAAAAGTTACATCATTTTTTGCCTTAATTATTTTGACAATATCATTTTGTTCGTGGAAAATATGGCTTACCTATACAATGGCTTCTTTATGTAAAAAGCCTAAATTAATTTCTTCTCTACAAGCCATACTACATGCCGTATATATTACATCCCATACCCGGAGACATGAATCAAGACTGGAAAAGAACGTATGAATAAGTCTAATCCTTTAACAAGATTACTTAAAGGCCCGAATATATAGAACGTCGCCGTAATTGATAATATCGACTTCAAAGATATTGTTTTCAAGTATGGGAATATATATAATATTACACGGCAATCTGCGCATGCTACACTAAGAATGGTGTTTCAATTTGAACTTCCATTCAACCTATCATTTCTTGCTCAAGAAAATCTGAATTCTCAAGAAATTTTATTTGGTCAATCGGGATTTATATCTGAATGGGATAAAAATTTTGATAAAATACTAAAACAATTAATAAATAAATATAGCAACAAAAGTTTTGGAATTGAAGAAATTAATGCCGAAATACTTACTACCGTTGAGTCAGGATGTCAAGTAAATCCACCAAATGTTGTTGTATTAGAGCCCGGACCAGCACCTAATATAGCAAGAATAGTTAGAATTTCTAGAATTCTGTTATATGTATAAAACAATTATATAAGGAAGGAGTTTCCCTCCTGTAATAAAGATAACTCAGAAGAGTTCAACTTAACTAGAGTCTGCATATAATTTATAAACATTCATTCTCCTAATTTTCCAATAAACTATCTTATATCCCATGACCTGAATTAGAGCTTTGTAATGTAGTCTAGAGCTCTATTTGGCTATAATAACTCAGACTAAGTTTTTCTACACCTCCTTTTGTGCCTTTCACCATTAGGGTTGATAGAGTTATAGGTAGTATTAGTGTTAGTTGATATATATATCACTGATTTTTCTGATTCAGATTATATTTAGCCTTTCTCAATGTATAGTACGTATCATTCAATAAGAATTCAATTGTTTTTGTTACGCTTATTATATAAAAAGGAATATGTATTACTGATTTCACTATTCTTTTATTGTTTAATTTCAATGAAGTATGCCAGATATGAAAGAAAAATAAAATATTATAGTACTTGCCAGGGGGTTGCGCAATGTTCTGTGCAAGTGAATGCTTATTTTTAGTAATTATAATATATATAAATTTAAATAATAAATTTTGAATTTAATTAACTCGATAATAAATAAAATTAAGCTACAATATATGCTAAATATATAACGAACAGTTTTAATAATATAAATAAAGATTTATGTGCTAAAGAATTTGAGGTATTTAAAAAATGTATATAAAAAGTGGTAAGTAATAGTTGTATATCAGAATCTTGACACACAGAATCCCGACACACAAAATCCCAGCAACAAAATCCCAATATACAAAATCCTGACAAATTAAAATCTTAATTTTAATATATTTAGATTTTAATTTGTCAGGATTTTGTATATTAGGATTTTGTTGCCAGAATTTTGTATATCAGTATTTTGTATATCAGGATTCTGATATATAACCGTAAGTAATATTTAGTTATTATTCTATTTTGTATTGTTGAATTAATCTTTGCTTTTTATTGAATATTTTGATTGGAAAGTCTTGGTGATAATTTAATTTTAAATAAAAAATATTAATATTAATATAGTTTTTATTAATCAAATAAAAATTTTAATATTTAAAGAAGATTCATTTTTGCAAATAGTAAAATTTCCCCTCCTGCAAATTATTATGATTATATATATTATTTATTTCTTGGGAGCTTAAAAATTACAACAGAGGATCCCAATGATCATAGAATACAGATGGCTCTTCAGGCCATCTGCATTATATGATCATCGTGAAATCATCTATTGTAATTTTAAACTCCTCACAGAAAATAAATTAATAATCTCCTGCCTTACATTATTTGTGATCACCTTCATTATAGCAATCACATAACCGGAAATCTTTCCACGAAAGATTCCCAGGCATGCAGGAAATTATAATGAAGGTGGCTATGAATAGAGATGGGAAAAATACGCATTTTATAATAACATGTGTATGTTATATAAAATGCGTATAATATCGCATGATATAATTTTTTGATTTTATATATTTTCCTTCCAGAAAATATCAGATATTTGCTAAAATTTTTTCTTGACCTTCTTGTCTTTATGTTTATTCATTTTCTTTTGGAAATTTTTTATTCTTACAGTTAGACCTCTCTATAATCACAAGTTGGTCACACCCTATTTTGGTGATTATATAGAGGTGTGACTATAAATAAAATATCTTTTATAGTTACATAACCAAAGGCCAATAAGTAATATATTTATACATATTTAAAATATTATTAAAATTTTTAAAATGTTTAATAGTAAGTAATTTTTGATCCAGTAAGCCAATTTGAATAAAATATCTACAGAGTATTTAACTCAATGAGATGATTTTAGAGAGTACAAATTATCTAAATCTAATTGCAAGATGCTAAGATTATTATTATTATTTTTTTTTAACAATTCAGCAGTCATGCCTTTACTTTATTAGGCTTTGTAATAATCATTTAGACTATTAAAATTTTAGAGAAACTTATTGATGAGTGATAAACTCTAAACATGTCAGCAGATAGCTTATAAGAACTATCTCTAAACGACATGCGCCATGCCTGAGGGCCATCTAAATTATAAGTAAAGACTAACCCGGTTACTCAATGAGTATCTATGTTTGACCTGCTATAGTAGGATTCTCCTCCTTCCAGACCTTTTCTGCAATTGGATATAAACCGGCTCTTAACAGATAGCACCTACTGCCCATAATGACCACCTCTCTCTTCTTTCAGACTTTTTCCACCTAAGCCCGACAACAAAATTAAAACTCTTATTTATACATAAAAGTGAAAAAAATAAAGTCATGTTTATGAAAGACCTAAACATTTTAGAAAAAAAACATCTCATGGTGGGAAAAAAAACTTTTTAACAAATTCGAAAATAATCTAATATAAATGAACCAATATGAAAAAAGTGAAAAAAAAAGAAAGATAACTATGACACACAATTATAGCCCATGCCAGGTATAAGAATAAAAATTATATAATAATTGCAACTAATTAATATATCTTGATTGTAAGATGTCGCCTTATCATAGAGGACTTATTCTGGGCAGTGTTGTACATGGGACAGTTGGAACAAATATAGAACAATTTTGGAACAAATTTGAAGGTTTAAAAAAATACAAATAACACAAATTTTTATTAAGATAACCTCTTTTTAATTCTTAAATAAAGTTGTTTAAAATTTAATTTTACTTATATTTTATTATTACTTTAATATAACTTTACAATTTAGAAAATGGGAAATTGATGGGACAAAGTTGGGACATCCCAGAACAGAACAAGGTGAAAATGGCTTGGGACAGTCAAAATGTACAATGCTGGTTCCAGGCACCTACGAAACTTTGGTATCTCCTAAATGGGGGTACTGATCTCTTTCCATACCATAGCACCGTATTGATAAACAAAACAAACACATAGTTGCATTCTACTAAGTATATCCAAATTAGAAAAATGTAAACATTGCTGATCTTTTGGAGAGGTGAACCCAAATGCCTACTTTTTTTGAAAATTTTGGAGAAAATAGCAAAAGCGAGAGAGAGGTAAAAAAACCAAGAGGAAATATCAAAGAAATGTCTACCCAAGCCTGCACAGTACTAAGTCTTTTCGGTAAGTGATAAACTCTGAGCTTGTCAGCAGGTAGTGTATAAGAACTACCTCTAAATGACAAGTGCCATCCTATAAAGTCTCTTTTTCCATGTTTCACGTTAAGGTTTTTGCGAGCCAAGTCATGATGTACGTTATTCAAAAGAAAGTCTTCAAATTTCCAGGAAGCGTTATTAGAAAAACCTATTTGTTGTTCTTCTTCAATTCTATTTTTTTGCATTACGAGTTACTTTGTCGACAAAAAGGCCCCAACTTCTCATGAGCACCTTTTTTCCTGAATTTTGGAGCAAAGCACCAACTCTTGCCAGTTATCTTGTTTCCTAATGCTTCTGGTTTGTATGCCAAATATGTAAAGGAGTCTCTAGAATCAAAAGGTTAACCTCTCTCCAACAAATTTTTGTTTTTTGTTTGGTAGGAAATTTTGGTTCAGATGATCATCAGAAAGAGTTTTTCGTAAATTTTCAAAATGGATACTAAGATTATTAAAAATTTTTAACTAAAATATTTAAAATCAATTTTTAACTATATAAAGTGATACAAATCCTTAATGATCACAGGAGCCTGTAATTGGATTTTAATGATCTTGGACTCATTAGAATCGTCTCATCAAGACAAATATTTTGGTGGTTGTTTCATTTAAATTGGACTACTGCATCAAAAGATATTTGCTGTCAAACCTTTAAAAATTTTTAATAAAATATTTTAAATAAGCATGAATATGAATATCAGCCAACCAGATTTTGTAATCTATATTTAGTCAAAATTAGTAACTATAAAGAGAATTTTTATTAATAAAATTAATAAAAAAATCCAATTTTTTTTGTGATAGTGATTATAAGCAATTTGTGACTATAAAAAGGTTTTTTTACTATATTTAAGTCTATTACACAATATTGGGTGCTTATATAGAGGTGTGACTATATAGGTGTGACTATAGAAAGGTCAGACTGTATTTCTTAATTTTGCCTGGCATTATACACTTTGACCTAAATTAAATATGCTTTAATTTTTCTATATAAAATTTAGATATGATAAAATGCACATGAATGCGTATTAATGCACATAATTAAAGAATCACGCACATGTATGAAACTCATATCTAGTCATGAATAACAAATAATAAGGGGATTATTAAACATAGTGATGAGCACGTGTGGGATCTGCGTGTGATGCGTGTGATTTTTAATATGATCCCAAATAAAATTATCTGGCTGGCATTAATATAATATCTGGCTTGCATTATAGCTGTTTTTATAAATTTCGGGACACCTAAAAAAAATTTGCCGAAGTTTATTCGGCCGAATTCGATACGCTATTTATCTCGGTGCTATATAAATGCATAATATATATGTATTTGTTACTAAGATTTATCAAACATATTCGTTGGAAAATAATCAAAAAAAAACTTAGAAGGCTTAAGTTAGAGTAGTTGCTAAACATTTGGGTATTAACAGGTTTTTTGTAGGCCTAGTTTTCAAACAATTTCAAAGGTATGACTGTGTTGATGAATTACTATCACTTTAAATAAACATTATACATACTTTGAACTTTATTATAACTATTAAGACATTGTTAACAAATATTAATAAAATCTTCAATTTGTGTTATATTTTTTTACAACCCCTGATCGTGTTTAAACTTTTTTTTATTAGTGCCTACTCGTGTAATATAGAGGGTTATATATTAAAAAGGCAAATTTTCAAAATTTATTATTTTTTTTTGTATAGATACAGTATATTTAAATAAACAAGTTTACTATACTATAAATTATCAAAGATAATTATATAATAAGATTCACAAAACGAACTTGAAGTTTATATGTTTTTTTTAGTGAAGATTTATTAATTGGCAAAAACAGTTTTTGACATAAATTTTTATATCATATATATTGGATAATGCAAAAAAAAATTTAATAAAGTGTTGAAATAGTTAACGTTGCGAATGTAATATAATATTAATAAAACTATGTGCTATAATAATAGTAACTTAATAATTTTTTTATATACTGATCACACACTAATCATACCAAAATCAATAACTTATCAAATTCGGCCGAATAGACTTCAGCAAATTTTTTAGGGTGTCCCAGAATTTATAAAAACAGCTGTAACTACACTGGCGATCATAAATAATGCATCAAAAAAAAATTTTATCTAGATCGTATTATTTCTCGCAATTCCAGGTATATTCTTTTATTTTTTTTTATTTTATTCGTAAATAGCGTCGCTGTTTACTTGTAGAATTTTATTAAACATCTATACTGCCAATCTAAAAATAATTACACGTGTGTTACGAAACACGTGATGCATTATTTTTGCTTGTTTTTTCCAAAGATCAGATAGCTTATGTGTACTATGTGACACATTTTTATAAATAGATTTTCTTTGTCTGATATTGCATCATGTGCAATGTTAGAATTAATTGATAATTAAAAAAGCAAAAAAAAAGAACTATACTACTCCCACCCAAAGAGTACAAATCTTGCTCTTGCTACAAAAAAGATACATGACGAGGGCTATAGGCCGGGCTTGCCATATTGCCTCCTCCACCATCTCGCAAATTAAGAAAAGGTGGCTTGAGAACTGGGTGCTCCAAGATTTAGGAAGGGTTGGTCGCCCACC